CGCGGCCCCTCAGCGCCCGCCCCGCCGGGCTGCGGGCCTGCCGCGGGGCACGCCGGGAAATGTAGTTCGGGAGGGGCGGCTCGGGGCCTGCCCAGCGCCCTGCACAGGCCTCAAGGGCAACGATGCTGGTGGTCTTGGAAAATAACTCAGAAATTCAGCGTGATGTGGTTATTTGGTGCAAGATGCACTCGGCTAGCGCTGAGCAAGGACATCCTGCAGTAACGAGGCCTTGAAGAAGGCAATTAATCAATAGGTTTAAGGAGTGTCTCATGTAAATCACCAACTTGGCAGAGAAGACTTGATAATTAGACCTAAGGAATGCAGGATGTGATAAAGAAGAACCAAAATCAAGAAGATTGATGGCTAAACCAGTCTTGGGCAGTTGAAACTTCAGAAGTTGCATATTGTGTCCTTCAGGTGAACCTAGCTAATTATAATGTCATTATAATACTAAAAATTACACTGCCGGGTCAAAAAGACCCCTGCCTAGATGTAGACCCTTCCCCATATCGTGCGTGAAAGCAGAAAAAGTTATGTAATATGTATATATGTATGTAAATCGCTAACCAGTCACTATAAGGAGGATGAACTTGGAAGCATCCTAACTTTATAATTGTGTGTACAAAAACGTCATGGAAAATCTTGTTTGGTGTGCTTGGAAGGCACCAAGCACCCAGCTTTGCACAAATATGCAATAAATAATGTCTCCTCCGCAGCCATCTTCAAACAGTAACATAATCACTAACAGACAAGGCTTCTTCTAGAAGATCTAGAACAGCTAGAAATGTTTTAATATAATGATGTTAATACATACAAAATTAAAAAACATTGTACATTACATTGTGCTTATACTCAGTAAATGATATTTGCATAATGGAACAACAAATTACTTTTTTTTAGAGGCACTCCTGATTTTCTTAAATAATGCACTTAGAGATTTTTACCTTTTTGCTGACTGCAGCTCAAAGGTGCTGTACCACCACCCATCCTACTAGTATCTCTTAATTTTTTACGCAAATATCCTAATTACCTTGTGTCATTATTATCAGGAACTGCAATTGCCCCTTACATAGTTCCTACCTTCTATATAACATGTAAACATTAAAAATAATTAACAGTTCGCTAAAAAAGAACTGCACTCAGTGCTCTAACTGTTTTGTTGTGCAAACATGTTACCATTTAGTAATAGATTCAAGATATGTTAAAAGACATTTAGGATTTTATATTCACAGAGCTGGTGTAGTCCAAATTAAGTCCAAAACAGCTAGCTTTGTCCATGTGTATACACATATGCAGTCAAATGAAGTCTCCGCCACATAAAACAGCAACGATCAGAGACTGGTTGCATATGAGAAGTTTATATTTTCTTATTCCCTGAAACACAGTTCATGCCTGTATGTGGTTTACATTCAATGATTGAAATTGAAAGAGCATAAAATTAAGACAATAGCTTCAGTTGTCCAGTTCATAAATGACTTGGAACTTGAGTTACACACTTGAAGAATTGGCAGATGCCTGACTACTTTGTTCATTTCCTTATAAAGAAGAATTAGCACTTCACTGAACTCCTCTATTTAAGGAGCTTTTATATCATAAAATAGTTCAATCTGAGAAAAAGATATATGAAGTACCTGAATATATTAAAATGTATCTGAAAAATGTTTCTTTAAGTTTAGGCTCCATATAAAAGATATTCTGAGAGAGAATGAAAAATGCACTTGAGTAAATAAGGGAATTGGAAGAAAAATTTTAAAAGTCCCTGTTAGTTTTGAAAGCATTTTGTATCTGGCATCAGCCTTACCAGAGCTGAAGAAACTACACCAAACAAATACTCTATGGCCTTTCACAGATGTTCCTCTTGCTAATAAAGAATAGCTTCCAGTGGCTTTTGCAATAATGCAATATTAAATGATAATCTAAAACAAGACACTTCTGATGTAACAAGATAGCCTAATTTCTCTCCCCTAAACATTTATAAATATAACTTCCCAATGTCCTAAAGATTCCAAAGTCACTGAAGTGAGCATCTCAAGCTACCTGAGAAACAAAGTCATTTTTTTATGGATTCATTTATGCAAAGATTCATATGGAATGCTTAAATATATAAAGCTTACGCAAAGACCCTTTGGCTTACTACAAAGCAGAGTTAAAATCAGGTAAATGAACTCTAGCAGTTGGTGTACTAACAGAGCTTTTAACAAAAAGCTGAATGAAAAGTAAATTATTATTAAATATTCAGGATTGCAGGATGATACTGCTACATGAGTGATAGCTTTCACATATGCAGTGCTCATGTCCGAATCAGGTCCCTTAAGAAACATAAATCTGTTCCTCACACAATTATTTTTTATTACTCCTACAGAAGTAAAGAAGAGAATGGAAATTAAAAAATTATCTCTTCCAGTGCAAAACAGAAGATATCGACTGATGAGTTGCCAATTACTTTTATAAAAATAAGGATACCCAGCATTTCCTATGCTGAGGTCCAAAGTGACCTACAAGTGCACTTAAACAATACAACAAATACTTCTGAAGTTCCAAGACAAAGGATAACCTACTTCACCCTCCAAAAATACTGAACAGCTAAAAGCCTTTGGCCTCTTCAGTACTATGCAGTACAAATTTAAGGTGATCGTAAATGAGTTGATTTAGCTTGTCCACAGACAGTATCTCTTTGAAAAAAGAAAATCAGAATTTTCAAGGCTGTTTTGACTCTCTGGCTAGTTCTGATTCCTCATACTGTCATTTGAAGAATAGGTACCTGGTGTTTTCCCCGTCTTCCTCTATAAAATTTGACGATTACTGTGTTAATTAGCACAAAAAGCAAAGCTGCAGAAGCAGCACACAGTAACAGGAATGTCCCACTATTGCTGACTAATTTTTACTTTGACACAAACTAAGAAAACAGCCATTTTCCCTGAGAATCAATCAAAAAAGCAGGCTCTCTTCACTCCTTGTAAATTAGCCTTGTAGTCATACTTCCACAACAAACTCATCTACGCCATTCACATCCTGTTCTTTTTTGTATCCTATAATCTTGACAAGCCAAGATACAAGAGCTAAGCATAAGGTTCTGGGATCCATTATTACAGATGAGATGTCTCCAAAGACCTAACAGCAGCAGTATTGATCCCTGATATCCAGTGCACTATATAGCTTTTTGGCATACAATTGCAAACATGAAGAATTAATTTATCTCTTCAGATGTACATACTGCTTGACTTGTTAGTATAAAAGTGCAGTTGATGGGCTACTCAGTGCCCTGCAAAGACATACTGGTTTCATTGACAATTTACATTTACATTTCAAGTTTACATGAAGAATTTTGTATTAAAAACTTATTTCCATTTCCAGTGTTCAAGAATTGATATAATACTGTAGTGAGGTCATTCCCGGGCAACCAGAGAAATGCTCTGAAGATAATCTGCAGACGCCATTATAAAGTCAGTCCATTCCTTGGCCAGTTCTTCAATGGAGACTTCCTCCCCCCCATATTCCTGTGGGAGAATGCTGACTGGGAAGTGTTCTGTCAGACTCTGCATGTAGTTGCTTCCATGCATATGCACCTAAAATAAATTATGGAAAGCATTTATTTGGGTATGAATGCTAGACTACTGACTGAAAAGAGGCAGCAAAGACATTTAGTGCAAGAGCTGAAGCCACTAGCTTCACTCGACTAAACAAGTGTGCCTGTTCATAAGGAGCTCCTTACATCAAGAAGAAAGTACCACAATGTGAGTTTCCCATGCTGCTCAAACTCTGTCTGGCTCAGTGTCTGCATCTTGGAGAAGCATGGACTACAACCACAGAAATGCAATTTATGCAGCTGCAAACTCAGGGGCTGAAACTAACTGTCCACTTGTCCCAGACTGGTTTAGCAACACTGATGAGGGTACACATGCCTCCATACAGGTAAACTGAGCTAAACCATTGGAAGTCTGGGGTTTGGTCTTGTCATGGTAGAGACCATGTACTTGCTTTTCAGTAATTTCCAAGAAAAGAATGGTGTTTAGCTCCTGATCATTACTATCTGGTTCTGCCACATTACTTATCTGGTTCTGTCACATGTATTTAAAAACAACATTATGTAGTATGTATCTAGGTTCAGATAGGTGCAAAGAAGGATTTTCACAAGAATCTATCTCAGTCCTAATGTTTCAGTTCCAACTGAAGTTCGATCCTGAACTGCTCCTCCACTTTAACCCTTGTAATACTGTAGCTTCAGTATTTTTTTACTGTAAGAGTGACAGAGCACTGGAACAGGCTGCCCAGGGAGGTTGTGGAGTCTCCTTCACTGGAGACATTCAAAACCCACCTGGATGCGTTCCTGTGTGATGTGCTCTAGGTGACCCTGCTCTGGCAGGGGGGGTTGGACTAGATGATCTTTCAAGGTCCCTTCCAACCCCTAGGATTCTATGATTCTATGATTCAGTTCCTCTCTTCTTGCTTTACTGTACTTTTACTGTTCATTACTTCCACTCAGAAAACATATAGCTACTTCTAAGCACTGTTCATTACTTCCACTCAGAAAACATATAGGCCTCTTACAAACACTTAACACTCAAACACAAAGACTTACACCTGCCCTCAAAAGGTAGTTGGCCACCTTTTATCTCACACTTCCTCCTCAGGAAGTAAAATGAGTGAGTAATTACTCTTACGAAGATATATGGAACTGCCCCTTAGAGGATTTTTTCCAGATGATACCTGAAATTCTAAGACAGGAGACAAGTCCATCTGCTTCTGTTTCATTCTATGAACTGGAATATCTGGTTTATCTTCTTTCAGGCCTTTACTGTCCATCTGACTGCTTTTCTGCTTTTTGAGTTCAGGCCTGAGATTCTGAGCTGGCTCAGGTGATAGGGGCTTGTTTCACAGGTATTAGTAATGTGAGAGAAGAAAGGCCAAGGCACCAGGCTGCTGGAATGTCCCTTTTTTAAATCACCTTTTCAGAGTGAGGGACTGACTGCACAAGGCTGGCAGAAACAATTCTGCCTTTCTCCCATAACAAAACAAACATGCTAGGAAAAGGCGACTGGCAAATAACAGCAAACGGTGACCAGAAAAATATGGATCTGCTGGCCTAGAGTGCAGTGGCTACTGCAAATGCACAAGACCCACATGCACAAGGAAGCTTCAGAGAGGAATAACAGTAGACAGTATTGCTTATTTTCTACCTTAGTCCTGTTGTTAACACTTTTCTGCCAGCTGAAACCTCCAATATTTCTCCTAGGCTACAACCCCCAGAATTCTTACAGAATTCTTGACCTGTTTTTGCATCCAAATATAAATGGGGTTTTCAGATTTAAACCAGCAAAACGATTTAAAATAATTAAGAAGCTACGTGGAAAGAAATTCTGAACTTAAGCCTGACCTATTTTTATGCATAAACACCTCTACTGGCATTTCAGATTGAAAAATGTGTATTCTAGTAATTCTGCACAACTTGGAGCATAACACCATTGTTCAGTGACAATTTCCTACTGTCGTTTATAGGCAGACTGTTGGGAGATGGGGACCTACTTCTTCCTAGTCCTGGAGAAAAAATGCTGCGTGGCCTCAAGCAAATATTTAACATATCTGCATCACACGTTTTTTTATCTTTGTAGTGGTGATAACAGCAACCACTTGCAGATCTCACAACATTGAAAACTGCAAATGCTTTGCAACTTGGGCCTAAAACACAAAAATTATTTATGCATTTTAGTGCTCAGGAATATCAGATCCTAAAGGAAGTGTTGCAGATTCTCATGTAGGAGTTTTGTGGCAGAAAGAAATACTCGTGTGCACTCACCCGTTCTTTTATTTTTTCAGTGAGAAAAGGCTTAATTAGAGCGAAGACTGGGTGGAAGAATAAAGGCTCATTAATCAAGTGGATACCTCGAACTTTTAGTGGAAAGGAATCCTGTCAACATACATGAAAAACAGCATAAGAAAAAGAAAATATTATTGAAAAGATTCTATTGTTAAGGACCAATCTGTGAAAA